TAACTGAAGATATTTGTTTTAGCTCATAAAATTCATACAAATTACCCGGCCAGAATATAATTTACATTGCTGGAATTCTTACAATTTGATGATCATTTTGAATATAAACATCATAGATTTTGTATTAGACATTCAAATTTTAGATGTAATGTTTACTCTGAGTAAATATGTTATCTTTTGTGAAAAATATATGACATTTATATTCAAAATATTCCTGGTCTTACAAGGAATCCAGCAATGTCAATTATATTATCCTAACTTTAGTTTGAGGAATTATTTATTACTATACCTGGTTTTCCCCCCAAAATTTCTCAGAGGGAAGAGCCAGCGAGTGTACTGTGAGAAGAGGGAGAGGGAGTCAAGTCCATTATTTGAATGGACATTAACTTGGCGACTGTATTTCTCTATTTCTCTTAAGTATTAATTGTGTGCATGTACCATCATAAAATTAAGATGTTATTTTTACTAGAACATAGGTATTGTGTCGGAAAAAGTGGAGTTTGGGGGTCAGCTGGTCTCTATTTCATTTAATCCCATATGTTATGTTATTCACTTTACGCGTTTCTCACTTTCCGCGGTACCCTGTGGGTTACATTAACCGCGTAAAGTGAGGGTTGACTGTATTGGACTTACAGTGATCCCTCGGTTAACGAGCGCCTCGGTTAACGAGATTTCGGTTAACGATTTACCTTCCATAAGATTCTTAACTTCGGTTAACGAGCAATCCCTCGATTAACGAGTTTCTTACGAGCCAACCTAAACATGATTTCGCTTGCATTTGGCGGTCCACCAGCAGTAGTATTAGTCCACCAATACAGTAATCGGTTCTAAGGCTTAAATTCCTTACCATTTTAGCAAATATCAAGAAGTTTATACTATTCAATAATTTTAAAAGTTTAATATTAAATTTTTTACTCATTTTAACAATTATTGAACATAATTGAAGGTAATGAAACTAGTTTTATGCGTGCCATCCAGCCTCTCAACACACCATACAGGCGTCAGTCTTTGTATCTTTTCAGTGGAGGTAACATCTTGCTTGAGACTCTCTTCAACTAAATGCTTTTTGTCTGTTTTTGCAAGCAAATTATTGGTCATTTTGAAATTTATTTTACATATTGACAATATATAATGCAGTGCAGTGTTGATTTAAAGAAAATAATCTTGAAATACACCAAGAGAACTAAAATTTTATGGGGGAAATGGTGCCATGGGGTGACTTCTCTTCCACCCCAGTGCCTTCTCTTCTCCTTTCTCCACCCCCATTCTAATTCCCATCATCATCATCCAGGAGCCTTCTACATACACACCTCAAAGTAAGTGTACTTTTCTACATTTTTTGTTGAATTTAGGCAATTTTCGGTGAGCTGGAACCAATTACCCAAAAACCCATTGAAACAATGGTTTCGGTTGATGAGCAACCTTCTAGAACGGATTGTGCTCGTTAACCGAGGGACCACTGTACTAAGGAGTGGCGTATTGAACTATGAAGTTGTGCATCGATTACCTTTGTATAAAAAGAGTTATATCGGTTGGGTATCCCTTATCCAAAATTCCCTAATCCAAAAGATTTTATCCGACCAATATCCCATTTTAGGGTAATCAGATCTTCTTTAGGATGAAATTTAGGATAAGCAAAAATTTTGCAAAATCTAGGATAATCAAGGATTTCTTGATTAATTTGACATAGGATAAAACACCGTTTCTTAATCTCTTATAAAAATTAAATTTCTATACAACCTTGGTAAGTCTCCCATTAATACAAAAAAGTGACATATTCATTTATTACATTACTAGGCTGTGCTCTCCCTTTTAAGAAAATGTCCTTAGATTGGTATTTATGATACATTTAAAGTACCCTATTCCCTCGTTAATTTGACAAAAAAGGGGCTCTGGGTCAATCGAATTACTGAAAATCCGGTGCTTGAGTGATGGCGAGTGCTCGCAACATTGTTCGGGAGAGCAGGACCAATTGGCTGTTATCGCTCTCTAAACAAAAAACCGGGAATATACTACGGCGCAATAGCTCATCTGGGATTTTCTGGGGAAAATAAATTATTTTTTGATAATGTTTAATTAACCGGGCACCAAATGAACCTTAATAATATGGGAATTATGGTGAAGTTGCATGCTGTTGTTATGAAGGGATTGCAGGCTCTCTCTGCTAACAAATACACCATTTAAGATAATGAATAATATTTCTGGGTAATTTGATAATTTGGAGGGCATTTCAGAAATAAATTTAGGGTAAGTAAGTACTGCACATGTAATAAATAAAGACACCGGCTGCTTAGCACCTCAGAATCAGGTGTCATGGTGATGCTTAACAGATGTTAGTGATTGCTTATCTTTCTGACTCTTCAGTATGCATTGGGGTTGCAATTTCAAATTGTGTCATTACTAAGGGATAGCGAAGTCTCTGGTGCACTCTAAGATTAAGAGAGAAAATGGAGGACTCAGGCGTCCTGACGAGAGAGAAAACGGACTCGTATGATGGGGGACCAAATAAAAAAAGCATAGCTACCTGTTTTGTGGACTACAGTATTAAGCGTACCCTTTTCATCACTTTGTTATAAACCTAGCCATACCTGTGTGTGTTTATGATATTTACCATAACATTATATATATATTTAGTGGGTCTAAATGGTCATAAAATAGGAAACTTGGGGTAGGGTCTTGGGTGCCTGGAACCAATTAGAATAAATCCCATAGGTTCTGTACTTTCGTTATCACGTTTTTCGTGATCACGCACTCGGCGGGGTCCCAATTAGGCGCAATAACCAAGGGATGACTGTACTGTACTGTATATACTTGTGACACTGGCCAGTTGCTTCTGGTGTTATGGTACAGGGGTACCAAGTGACAGCACTAGGATCCTGCTTCCTCTATCAAGGAATAAACAATTAAAATTTAAATAAAAAAAACATTCAAATAATGGGACGTAGCGAACCTAAATGGCCCTAGAGCGGGCACAGTCACATATGCATTGCGTATTCTTATAGATTGTGCTGCCAGGCTTACGTTATCTAGTGAATTTAGTCAATATTGTACAGTAACAATGGACCTAAGTGCAAACCTGTATTGTACATGTACTAAATGATTACAGTACTAAAATTGTTATGTCTATTGCAAAAATAGCTTGTTTATACAAGTATTCAAATATATTACTATCTTACAAAAATCCCACCAATGTAAGTTATATTCACCCAGGTCGTTTGGTTGGCAAATTATGAGAAGAGCTTAGTCACTCTTAAGTAATGATAAATAAACACGCAGGCAGGCCTTCAGCGCCAACTGTCAAATCTTATCTCAAATAAATAAACAAACAAACGCCAGACATTGTCACCTCATCTCCCACCCCCTCCTCCCCCCCCCTCTTCCCACACGCTCCTGGCTACTTCCTTCCTTGTGTTCCCAGACAAAAGATTGGTGATTTCTTTATGTTTATTTTATATAATATCTCAGACTAAAGTTAGGATAATATAATTTGCATTGCTGAAATCCTTGCAAGACAGAGATTAATTTAAATATAAGCGTCATATATTTTGCTCAAGATATAAACAATGTAGTACATTAGTGTCCAATACTGTAGTACATTTATATAAAAAAAAATTTCAGCTGTATTTTTGGGTAGATTTACATAAATTTATTTTCATCCATTTACATGCACACACCTTACTAAAATAAACGTAAAAGAAATAAATGACCTTAGTGCAAAGCTGGAGTGCACATGTACTAATTTGATTACGGTACTAAAATTGTTAGTACATATCTAGTGCGAATTATTGCATGTTTATATTCAAATTAATCAGTATCTTACAAGAATCCCAGCAATGTTAATTATATTCTCCTAGGTCATTTCACTGGCATTTTAAAATGAGAGAAGCTTAGTAGGACTGTTAAATAAACACACAGAGACTTTCGGCTCAAACTGTCAAACATATCACCTCAACCCCCCCACCTCTCACTGGCTGGCTGTCCCTCTAAGCCAGGGTTTTAGGCTTACAGGTTTTATCTTATATAATATCTCAGACTAAAGTTAGGAGATTATAATTTGCATTGCTGGAATCCTTGCAAGACAGCCAATAATTTGAATATGAATGTCATATATTATCCTCAAGAGATAAAAAAATTTGTACATTAGTGTACAGTACTGTAGTACATTTATAATATAAAACTTTTCAATTGTTTTTCGGGTAGATTTACATAAATTTCTTCATTTATTTTCATCCATTTACATGCACACACCATACTAAAAGAAACGTAAAAGAAATAAATGACTTTAGTGCAAAGCTGGAGTGTACATGTAGGCTACTAATTTGATTACGGTACTAAAATTGTTATGTCTAGTGCAAATTATAGCATGTTTATATTCAAATTAATCAGTATCTTACAAGAATCCCAACAATGTTAATTATATTCACCCAGGTCATTTCACTGGCTTTTTATAAGAGAGAAGCTTAGTCACTTAAGAACTAATAAATATACTGGTACACGCGTTAGACCTTGGGCCGGTGCCAACTGTCAAACGTACTACCTCCCCTCCCCCCGAGCCCCCTCGCTCGCTCCCTCCCTCTACCCCCAACTGCCCAGCGTTGCTGGAATCCTTGTAAAACAGTGAATAATTTTAATATAAACGTCATGTATTTTGCACAACAGATAAAAATGAATCACCTGTATCACATTACAGTAGTGATTTAAGAGTAAAAGTGTATATGTACATATATAGTATTCCACATACACGTATGTATAAATACAAAGTTTATGTGATGATCGGACAACGTCCATTTCGGTTAACGTCACGTTTCCAAGAACGTATCTAGGACGTTAACCGGCGCATGACTGTATGTATGTATGTATGTATGTATGTATGTATGTATATATATATATATATATATATATATATATATATATATATATATATATATATATATATATATATATATATATATATATATATATATATGCTGATAACCACAAGGAAAGAAGAAAACACGAAGTTCCCAAGCGCTTTCGTGTAATTCACATCTTATGTGGAGATCCCAGGAACATAACCCTGATGTAATCTAAGATTCAACTTTATTTTTTCATTGGTTATTTCATTAACTAAACATTTATTAAATATTATTGTCACATTACTTGTTTATTTATTATATACTGTCTATTCACTATGATGTGTGTCATAATTGTGAACAAAGAAATTCATAACATTATAGGATATTAGGCTAAGTGTAGTTAATCTAATGTACCATTAATTAATTATTAAACGTCTATTTCAAGAGAATTTCAATCAACTCATATGACCCTGGTCACTAGGTTGCTAGATATGAAAGGGTGAATCTGTAAAACAAATCCAACTGAAGTTGTAGACCTGACAACACAAAACTTTAATTAGAAAAACTAAAAAAGATAGAAATACATTAAGCAATTACTCAGACAAACATTCAATTTTCTGCATACCTTTAATAACTATTTGCAAAGTTTTAATGAGACATGGCAGTGAGGACATCTAGTTCTTCAACTTCATAACATGTAAAACCAGCTATATTATAATCATCAATATGTAAGTTCAAAGCTGTTTAATACCCCAGTGTCCCTAATACCATAGGGTTGCACACTGGCAGACCATTGTTGCAATCTTATTGTGGAAATCTTCCAGAGAGGTTATGGTACTTCAGATGGGCAAACCCATCCACCAAAGGCTTTCTCCAATTCTCCAGCAACAGCCAAAGTCAAGTGGTCATGGTAGTGATTTGCCACAACCTAAAACAGAAATGGAAGGCCAAAGTACATGAGATTAGTGTTATAATATGTAAGTTTGATATTATTTATTTAGAAGTGGTTATAAACAGAAACAAATAATGATATACAGGTATTCAATTTACACCGCCCTGCACCTGGAGATGGAATGAGGGAAAAGGGCAAGTACAAGATGAGAGAGAGAAAAATCACCTGTTTACTCTTGCATCCAAGTCTTAGCTTCCTAACTTAAAAAAGCCTGAGATATCACCAGCATAACCAACCAAGACCTGTAACAAACAAATGGAATAACCACTGATTATTTCCCTCATGCTTTGCATAATACCTGGATGGCGTACAGTGGGGTCTCATTTTTGCACAGGTACTATCGTGCACAAAAGTCGAGTCCACTACCCAGGCACAGTGAGTGTTCGAATAGCCTTGAGTCTGAAGTTTTGAAACAGCTGGGGGAAATGCTATGGTCAGCCAACAGATGTCACCCACTGTAGTGTGTGTGGTGGGGGGGGGGTGAATAGAGGAGGTGGGGGCTGGATGAGAGGCAGGTTTATTTATTATTTATACCACCATAACTTCAAGCTGCCTTTTTAACTACGTTTTGTCTTACAGTTGTTTCTTTATGGATGCGAATTCATGGAACAAGTGCAGTGCCCTGGGTGCTTATTGTCGCTCAGGTCACAATGATACTTTAAAGAATGGAATATATTAAGGATAAAAGTGAAATATGCAAGGATCAGGGTGAAGGGCCTTGGTCAGCTAGTTTTACTCAGCGACCACGTCACAATTTTGTTGTTGTTCCGACCAAGAGATTATGGTAATATTTATTTATATTCCACCCATCCTTTGCTTAATAAATATTTGTGATAATATGCAATATTATATAATTATATACTTATGTTAAAAAGAGTCGAGTGAAAAAGTTATCAGTATTGTAAAATAGTATTCAGACTTAATCTAGGTGACTGTCCCAATTCTTCCAATTTCCAGTGTTTAAACACCCCACCACAATATGCAAGCTTCATATATTTTGGTGTGTGCTCGGTTACTGTTAATATTGTGTGCTGAACATCATGAGCATTTCAATGATGGTAGCAATTGTAACTATATAATTATTATATTGTGTTATAAGACAACACATTCCACGACGTGTCATACAGATCATTGTATACCACACAATACATAATTGGTGGCTATTAAGTTACTTTGTTATGAATTTTCTTGTGATATAGTTTAAGACATCATTAAGGACATGGATTTAAGATAACACTGTAGGTGAGTTAATATATATATTAATTGTATTTACAAACAATACTAAAATCCAAACAATACACCCATACACACCTGTACTCACCCCTGAAGATGTGAATTACACGAAAGCGCTTGGGAACTTCGTGTTTTCTTCTTTCCTTGTGGTTATCAGCATATATATATATATATATATATATATATATATATATATATATATATATATATATATATATATATATATATATATATATATATATATATATATATATATATATATTAGTTAGGACCCCCACTTAACGCTGTCACAGAACCCAGAGGGTCCCGTAAGTGAACTACAAGTAGTGAACAAACATATGGATTAATTCCCAATAGAAACCCGCCCTAATTCCCCAAATCAAATTTTTAAAGACACATAACTATGTTGTAGTAAAATAACATCTTAATTTTAAGGGATGGCATTACACATAATTACTACTTAAGAGAAATACAGTTCCCAAGTTAATGTCCATTCAAATAATGGACTCAACTCCTCCCTCTCACACTACACTGCCCACTCTTCCCTCCTGGAGAAATTTTGGGGAAAACCACTAAATTTTAATAAATAATACCTCAAACTAAAGTTAGATAATACAATTGACATTGCTGGATTCCTTGTAAGACTAGGAATATTTGAATATACCGTCAAGTATATTTGCACAAAAGATAAATATAGTTACTCAGAAATTTTTTTATCTAAAAATTTGTATGTCTAATGCAAAATATATGATGTTTATATTCAAAATGATCACCAAATTATAAGAATTCCAGCAATGTAAATTATATTCTGCCGGGTAATTTGTATGAATTTTATGAGCTAAAACAAATATCTCAGTTAATAAAAATAATCTCACACACTATCTGGCTCTCTCTCAATCAAAGTACTCCACCTTGCCTCCCCTCTTCCAACCAAGCAGGTCAGTCCCAACCCTAGCCCCACCCCCACCAAGAGAAAGAAAAGTGAAAAAGAGGTCAGTCCCAACCTAGCCCCACCCCCACAGAGAAGAGTGGGTGAAAAAATAATTTTAACATTTTGTATTAAATAATACACTCAGATTAAAGTTAGGATAATATAATTGACATTGCTGGATTCCTTGTAAGACCAGGAATATTTTTGAATATAAACGTCATATATTTTGCACAAAAGATAACAACTACTCAGATTAAACATTTTATCTAAAAATTTTATGTCTAATGCAAAATATATGATGTTTAATTATAAGAATTCCAGAAATGTAAATTATATTCGACAGTAATTTGTATGAATTTTATGAGCTAAAACAAATATCTTCAGTTAATAAAAAAAATATTCTTCCGGGGGTAACAGATGGTCGGTCGGTCCCTCCCTCCCCCCACCCCCACCAACCGTCCCAAGGAGATGTGTGGGAAAACCAGAATACTTAACTTTTGTAATAAATAATACCTCAAACTAAAGTTAGGATAATATAATTGACATTGCTGGATTCCTTGCAAGACCAGGAATATTTTGAATATATATGTCATATTTTTTGCACAAAGATAACATACTTACCCAGAGAAAAATGTTATCTAAAATTTGTATGTCACAATGCAAAATATATGATGTTTATATTCAAAATGATCCTAAATATAAAATTCAGCAATGTAAATTATATTCTGGCCAAAATTTGTAGATAATTTTATGAGCTAAAACAGGCAGTCAGGCAGGAGGTGGGTGGGGCAAATCTAAAATAACGTCTCGGCGGACACTCACAGCGTATATGGAAAAAATCCATGTTAAGTGAAAGTTCAGCTCTGGCGAGCACACGTATATGATAAGCAGCGTTAAGTGAAACAGCGTTAGCGAGTAATATATATATATATATATATATATATATATATATATATATATATATATATATATATATATATATATATATATATATATATATATATATATATATATATATACAATACCTATTTCATACAGTATATATATATATATATATATATATATATATATATATATATATATATATACATATATACAGTATTACCCGCTACTGCGGTTTTCATAGCAGCGTTTTATCATATACGTGATTGCCTAGCCAGAATGAACTTTTACTTAACAGTTTTTTCCACAATATACGCAGTGATGTCATTTCGAGGCGCTATTTTTAGATTTGCCCACCATACCCGCCACCCTGCCTGACTGTCTGTTTTAGCTCATAAAATTCATACAAATACCCGGCCAGAATATAATTTACATTGCTGGAAATTCTTATAATTTGGTGATCATTTGAATATAAACATCATATATTTTGCATTAGACGCTAAATACAAACATAGCATAACACTCTAGTAACTATCAACCATCTTTTATTAAAAAAATATGACTATTCAAAAATTCTTACAACAATCGTCAATATTCTATTTGGTATTATTTATCAAAAAAGTAAAGTATTCACAATTTCACACACTACTGAAGCCATTATTGAAACGAGGGGAAGAAGGCACAGTATCACAACATTTTAACAACTGAAGATATTTGTTTTAGCTTTCATAAAAATTACCGATCCAGAATTTTACGAAATTCTTATAATTTATCGACAAATAACTAAACATCATATACATTACATTGAACATAATTACAAATAAATATTTATCTAACTAAAACCACGTACCTCCTGCTACCAACCCAAAAATACCTGATACTCAAAATTCCACCAATATCAACAGCACAACTCTTAAAGACCATTTACAGCCTCAAAATCTAAATTCACCCAACCACCTTCTCTTGAAGGAAGAGATTGGTGAAGTGGGAGGTTGAGACTGACACGTGGTTGGAAGAGCAAATGTCAGAATACTGTAATGTCTGAAAGATCACATTAACTGAATATTTGTTTTAGCATAAATACAAATCCCGACACCACGAACATAATTTACATTGCAAATTCTTATATTGATGATCATTTGAAATATAAACATCCATTATTTTGCATTAGACTATTACAGATAAACTTTCCCAGTAACCACATTTATCTTTTATTGCAAAAAATATGACATTTATATTAAAATAATTCGCCCACAAAGACTCCTCAATGTCAACAATATCTAACTGTTATTTATTAAAATTTAGTGGTTTTCTAAGACGGAAGAGCGTGTAGTGAAGAGGAGGATTGAGTTTTGAATGGACAACTGGCGCTATATTTCTCTATTTCTCTCAAGTATTAATTGTGCATGTACCATCCCAAAAATTAGATGTTATTTTACTAGCACTAGTTATGTGATACTTCAAAGTTTGACAGCAACAGGTAATCCCAAATGTTCTGTTGTTCACTGGCAGTTTCAACACGAGGACCTCTGAGACCACAATGACAGCGTTAAAGTGAGACCACAACTGATATATATATATATATATACATATATATATATATATATATATATATACTATATATATATATAAACCACACACAACAACATATACATAATATATATATATATATATATATAATATATATTTTATATATAATATATACAGTGAGGTATGCTATAACAAATCTAATTGGTTCTATAGAACCTTGTTCATTATAGCAATAGGTTTGTTATAGGATTAATCCGTTCCAGGCCCCAAATACAACTCACTTAACAGTGAAAAATATAATATAAAATTGTAAAATTGTAAAAAAAGTGCATAAATATGCATCTAAACCCCTGAAATAAAAGAATATCATTAATATTTGTAATAATAAAACAATAAATTA